ATATTTGATAACTCATGGGGAAAATAACTTTTCTAATTTTACCAGTTCAACGTAGGCTTTATTAGTTCCGTAAGTTTCAAAATGACAATGAAATCCTGTTTGAATCTTTGAGGAGAGCACGAACTAACTAAACTAGATTCTACACAATGTGAATTTTAAATTTCTATAAAAATATGACTTTCTATGAATTATCTTTAATAAGAAAGTCTCGAAACAGAAGTTGTAAAAATTAAAGAAAGATATTTCCTAATATTCTCATAACAACTCTTAACACTTCATTATTCCACGTAAAGATTCAAGCCATGCTTCATTTATTTTAAATGAATCAAATGTAGAAAAGTGTTAGCCGATTTAAGATACAGAAAAATAAGATACAGATCGAAAAAATGAGTTTTTAAAATGATTGACTTAGATTGATTGACTTAGATTGATTCAGTTATAAGCCGAAATGATTATATGTTTTTCTAATATTATCTGAGTTTTTAAAATTTAATTGAAATAGTAATATTTTTAGTTACGAAACAATATACGCGTTGTTTGTTAGTGTTAATGACTTTTTGCTAATTAACTTTAAAAAAACAATTTTTAGCTTGCTGAATGGAATGGATGTAATAGCGGGAAGGCTGAGAATATACAGCGGTAAATACAAGTTGAAAAATTTAAAAAAATAAAAGTCTTGCTTACTTATATTGAAATAATTGGTTTTCAATTATTTAAATCTGATTTCAATCATTTCAATTTGATTGGAGCTCTAAAAATGGTTTTTATTTTAGAGTTGCAATCTGAGTAACTTATTTTTTTTTTTCATGTGAGTCATTCAATAGCAATCGGAATAACAAATAATAGAAAAACAGTGATTTGATATTTAAAATCTGTACATTAATGTTTTTATAACTAATAAGCAAAACCTCAAATACCGAACAACTAAAAACTATTAATTATTTCATTTAAACTTATTACATTCATAAAATATTAAAAAAATCAATTTAATCACTCCAGTTTTCGAGTGATTCAATATAACACAAACATTTTAAAAACTCATTTTGTCGATCTGCATCTCTAGTATTCATGATAATTAAATTTTGCCCAATATATATAGTGCAGATAAATAAGTTTAAATTTTTAGAGACAAAATTTTAAAGAAAAATCCATTGGCATATAGATTTTTAAAGACATTTCATCGTTACTAAAGCATATATGCGTTGAAAGAGAATACTTTTTTTTATCAATTATACTCTTAATTCAACTAATTCATATAAAAGGATGAGTTAGAGAAGAATTTACTCCACACATTGTTTTAGACTTTTTAGGTCGGCCTATTTACACTGGTAAAAGAGATTGCGTGCAATCCCTTTCTTTCATTGTTTATAGACTTACATCCGCTTCTTCCACTATAATCAATAGGTTGATAAACTTTTAGCTAACGTCTCGGAATCCTATTTTACTTATTTTTAATTAAGTATGAAAATTTATATAATTCAAAAATTTTGAATGTGAAAAATCACCGTTGATTATTAAGAAATCTGTCACTTCCTTATGTTTTTTTTCTTATATTTACATATTTTATAGCATAATAAAACAAATTTTTATAAGTTACTACTATGAAGGAAGAAATAGTATTTATTTGCAACAACAAAAAAAGTTTCACTAATTTTGTTTTTTTCAAAACGAGCTTATTTAATTTTAACTCGATTTTCTTAAAGTTTTAAAAGTATTAATGTAACAAATTCAGTTTTTATCCCTGTAAGATTCTAAGTTAGTTCAATATAATATAATATTTATTAAATCTTTGACGCAGAATTTTTATTAAACATTTTTCATACTTTTATCTTTATTTCGCATAATTTTTGTGTCGAAATAAGTGAAAAATATTTTATTTAGCATTGTAATACATTATGGTTATGAAATATAGTTTGAATATTATGGTTATGAAATATAGAAATACGCAGGTGTCTTTCTGCGTTTATGGTAAAATCTTCCAAACACTGCTCATTTCCACACAATTAATTTTGCGATTTTGCAGTAAGAGAAACAGTGTTTCAGCATTGAAATTTCTTCTATTAACAAAATAAATTATTGATAAATTTTTGAATATGAATGAAAAAAAAAATTCAAACTCTTTATTTTTTTGGATTTTATACTGCAGTACAAATATAATTCCGATAATCAAACATAGTTTTTGGTAACTATTAGACTATTTTTTTTAATTACAAGATGCAAAATTATAATCTGGCTTGCAATTAAATAGATTGAAAAAAAATATGTAAAAGAGACACCGGAGTCTACGTAAAAGAGTTAAATGATAATTCGTACTTTTATAAATGTCTAAGATCAGGGGTCTGTCCAGACATTTTGTGAAAGGTCCGTTTTAGTAAAATTGTGAAAAAATTACTCGTAATTTGTGAATATAAAATGAACGTTAAGTCACATTCGTTCAACCAGGGTTCTGCACTAGTAAATTTGTGCAAATAGGGTCCTGTTATTGCAAAAAACTTTTTCAAGGAGTTTTTAAATTGTAAAGAGATATAAGATTATGCTCAACACTGTAAAATTATAATTAAACAAATTTAAATTTTAAAAAATGAACAGCAATTGCTGCGATTAAATTAGAGATGCAACATACAAAGATCATGTATTTAGCCTATACTGCTGAACGTAGAATATTTATTTCGGACGAATAAAGGAAGAAGCGTCTTCCGAAGACAAAATTTAGTTCGTTTGTCTTTCTTCCCCCCTTACCCCCCTGGGAAGGGTTTATTCGAATAACAAAACAATAATGAAGACAAACAAATTTGGGAAGGGTTCGATTAAAAGATAAATTATTTTGTGAAGGGACCGTTTTTAAGTTAAAATATTTCGTGAAAGGTCCGTTTTTATGAAAAGATATATTTTGTGAAGGCTCCGTTAACGGACCAAAATTTCTTCTAAACAGACCCCTGAAGATTATAATTTTAATATAATTACATTAAAAAATAATACCAATATATTGTAACAATTGAAAATTCCTTCAAGCAACGGAAACTAAAAGGGTCATATAGTGTGTTCTCTAATGACCACCTTTTATAGAATACTTTTTAAAAATGAAGTCAAGGGGGCTAAAATTAATATTTAGGGGATTAAGAAGCAAAACCACAGTCGATATCTGTCAAGTCAATTGAGAGAAGAGCTATATTAGTAGTAAGAAACTAATTAGATTGCCTGATAAAATTGGAGGTGTTTTAATAATTGTCTTTTAAATTCTTTCTATTTCCTCTGGCAATCTAAGAGGATTTTTATTTTCAACTCTACCGTTTTCAGAAGTAAATCGTCAGATATCGACAATATTTCCGCTTATATTGATTTTGTTAAATATTAACTAGAGTCCTAATACGTGTAATTCTGTATTTTTTAAGTAATATTCTAAAATATTCTAAAAAATATTGTCTTTGACTGTATGTTTAATAAAGATTCTAAAATATTCCTAAAAAAATTATATTTTTCTCTGTATTTTTCAAAATATTCTAAATTAAAGGCAGATCTTAAAGAACAAGCTGCATTTATTGGGTGTTCCATAAAGGCCGCCGTTAATGGGTATTTTTAAAGTCCTTATGAAATATGAAAACAAGAAAACCTACTCAACGGAGTCTGCAAGTAACATTTAAACGAAGAAAAAAACAAAAAAGCTATCGAAATCTGACAAATCGCAGTACATGAGGGTGAATGTAATAAACAGAGATAGGTTTGATGGCTGGAGAAAACAGAGAAGAGTTGAAACGCGGTTATTAGAATCATCTTCAAGTTTTAACACCCTAATTAAACCTTTTTTGATGTTGTTTATTTTAACAGTTTTCTTCCACAGTCATTCGATAGACTAGGGCAGCGTTTTTGGTTTTTCTTGCTTAAATATTAATTTATAACCCCCCACATGTATACATTTTAAATTTCATATTAGAATAAGGATTCTAAAAACGCTTATTAAGGGTGAACCTTACGGAACGCCGTATGTGGTGATAAAAGTTTGACTCATTCCCAGGAAAGTTATGTCCACGACTATGATAAACGTTATTTTAAGGAGAAAACATCTTTACGTTTTATTCATTCGAGTGGCAATGAAAAAGATGTTAAATTTTTCTATTTTAAATAAGAGCAACTTATAATTTTGGAAGTTGTCCTCAAATATGCACTATACGTAATAATAAACATGTGTAAAAATTAAAAATACTTTAGCTAACACTGTAACGCTCAAACTAATACGTAAAAAAAAGGAAATATATTTCCATTTTTTAAACTTCACATGAGTTGTAAAAAAAGTTTTTTTCACAACTTTTTAATTAAAAAAAATTTTTTTTTCAATTTTCTAATTATGTCAACATACAAAACTTAAAGAAAATTGAAAATTTATACAAAGTTCTTAAATTTTCCATCACCCAAAATGTACACAAAATTTATAAAAATTTCTCAAGTTTTCCGTGTTATTACCATCCAAAATTAATAAAGAGTTTTTAGGTTTTGCACGTCATAAATATCCAAAATTAAAAAAAGATATATATAAAGAGCTCTTAAACCTGAAATAACAAGCATAATAATTAGTATAATAGTTCATATTAAATAGAAAAAAAAAATCTTGCTAAATTTTATTACTCTTAATTGCTTTCTCCTTATAAAATACCCCTAACAGCAAAACTTATATCTCAAAACAACATTTTATTTTTTAAAATATTCTTCGAATTTCGCAACATCAAAGTTAGTTAAAAGCCTCTGATTTTAAAAAAATAATGACTAAAAACTTCGAAAAAAAGTATAAACTATAGAACTACAATTAATTTAAGAATGGCTTAAAAAAATGTTTTTTTACATCCATGATTATCGTGAGAAGAAATAATTATGACACAATTCTGAAAATATTATACGAATTTAAACTCAAAGTTATTTAAAAGCCTTTAAATAAGGAAAAAAAAATTTGGCAGTAAACAATAATAAAAACAATAAATTTACATATAGTTATTTTAAGAATAACTTACTTAGAACAATATTTACTTTACATCCATGATTATCATGAGGAGTAATGATTATCACCTAAAGAATATGAGAGATGAACTTCAAATGCTGTCCACCGGTGAATTCATGGACTCCTTACCTTGGCGGAAGGATTTGAAGTGAAGCGGTTACTGTGCCATTCCGCCCCATTATTGATTTACAGAATAAAAATCCTCTTACGATTCGCCTTCAGGCTTTTAGGCTTTTAGAAAAGCGGGACGCGTAACACGCTTCATAAGATTTAAATTGTTCGTTTGTTTCAACCCGTCTTAACTTTCACCGAATTATACTTTTGCCGGAAGAATTACAACTTAACATGATCGATTTGCGATAAAATTTCAATAATACTCTTTTTAATTAGTTAAATATGCAATGTCCGTTTGACATTTTTCCTTAAAAACATGTGAAGGATTAATATGATTATTAATTTTAATTCAAAGTCACAATTTAAAAAGTTTCTTTTTTTTTTTTGCAAGTCAAACTCTTTACAATCAAGCTATATTAAACGAACAATTAATATCGTTCAGTTTATGAAAAATTAGGCAATAAAATATAAATCGTTTGTTTTTAAACCGTCTAAACCTTCACCAAATTTTACTTTTCCAACAGAATTACAACTTAAGATGATTGATTTGCGATAGTTTTAAAAAGACTATTTTTAATAAGTTAAATATACCATGTTTTTTTGTGTTTTTTTTTTCCTTAAAAACATGCGAAAATGTAAGGTAATTATGTACTTTAAAGTTACGGTTTCACAATTTAAAAATAATTTTTTAAATCGAGCTTTTTTTTATACATAATACAAGGTGATCATAAAAAAAACTTTGCTGGCGTATGTCACTCAGCCGTTTATAGTAAACTGAATAAAATTTTGTACATAAGTATTAGTAACTATATATATTAAGAACGATGTTGTAGCTCTCGCAGTTAAAGTTGCAGTGACAAAATTATGAATTTTTTTTCTAATTGCAACACCCGCATTTTTTTTCCTTAATCAAAACGTATTTCTTACAGTAAAACACCTAAATTGGAGTTGGAATGATATTTTCAGCTCAAGAAATTGCGACGTTAACCTTTGCCAAGTAATGCCATTTTTAGCGACCTCTAACGAGAAGAGAGAGTTATAAAAATCTTTAAAAACGGAGATCAAATTATGTACATGGGAGGACGGGACATATCAAAATTTTTGAAGTATTAAATGCTTTCTTTGTAAATTTTTTCTCTGTTCTTAAAAGTTTTTATCACATTCTCTTCTCATTACTGGTCGCGAAATATGGCGACGCATTGCAAAAGCCTAGCGTGATAGAATCTTGTACTGAAAATATCGTTCCAACTCCAATTTAGGTTTCTTTTTTTTTTTCTTTAACGATTACGTTCTGATAGAAAAAAAGTGGGTACTGCAATTTGAAAATTTCGAAATTTTGTTATTTTAACTGTAACCTAAAATGCCGCATTATTTAATACAATCGATTTGCAATAAAATTTTAATAACCCTCATTTTTATTTAAAATGAGGAAATATATTTTGATATTTTTTTATTGAGTACGACAAAGAGTTAATGTGATTATTTGTTTCTGGTTGAAACATAAAAAAAAAACTTTTTTTTACAATTTGAAACGTATAGTTATTCATAGTTCGTATTTATTCATTCATATAGTTATTCATAGGTTCGAAAATAAACATTAATGAAATTTAAGGAGACTTCGAACTTTTAGAATGATTTCTCTTTATTTCGGATTGAATTTATCGGAATTTAATTTATTTTTTATTTCCTAAAAGTCTGTTTTTTTTTTCGTTCTTAGATGCATAACGTAGCAAATTTCAAACAAATATTGCAAATTTGCGCTTTTGTTTTTGAAAAATTGTTACATACTGAAAGTGTTTAGAATAAATGTTACTTGAAATAATTTCAAAAATATTTAGAAACAAGATAAAAACACAATTTTCATAAAATTTCATTTAAAAAAAAAAGGCTTTTATTACAAAAAAAACTGCCTCTCATATTTTAAATCTGTTATTTTACATTACATTCTGACTTTATTTAAGATATTACTTATTCTTATCGTTCTAAACTTTACTCAGGAAAAAAAATTTAAAAACATGAAATTATTTTTTTTACATTTCCTTTATTTTCAAGCTATTTAGGAATTTTATTTACTATTCTTTAACTTATTTCATTATTTTTTATGAAACTTTGCATCCTGTATGTGACGAAACAAGATCTCCTAAACTGTCATATTTCTTGAATGAAACCACGGTGTAAGACCTAAATATCATTGGAAATAGACTAAAAGAAAACCCTACACTCTATTAACCCATTTTGTTTTTCGATTCACGAACCATTGGTTCTTTCGATTCTTTTCACCTTTCGACACTGAGTGTTACGCACAACATCCCTAGCAGCAAAAAACTTGGGTTCTCATTGGGCCAATATTCATGAATCTTGGCCCATTTAATACTTCAATCCATTTTTCAGTCAATGTAGGTTCTATATTGGTCAATGTAGGCTCTATATAAGCCATTCTAGGACCAACCTTAAAAAAATCTAGACATTCCAATATAGGAACCATATAGAGCCAATTTCGAACCCAACTGGGGCCAAGGTAAAATAGTTGCTAGGGATGCGTGCGCATTATAACAAATGTATGGTAATATGAATATGAACCTATCTCATAGCAAAGTAGTATTTATCCATTCTATACTTCAAGAGATAACATTGGCCCTATATAGAATTTCCGATTCAGCCGATATTTAACAGCCGCTTTACAACCAATATCGGTCCTATATAGAATTGTCAGATTAACCCGATATTTTATATCTATTATGCAGGTTCTATATTGGTCAATGTAGGCTCTATATAGGAAATTCTAGGACAAAATTTAAAAAATCTAGACACTTCAATATAGGAACCATATAGAGCTAATTTCGAACCCAATCGGGGCCAAGGTAAACTAGTTGCTAGGGATGCGTGTGCATTATAACAAATGTATTGTAATATGAATATAAACCTGGGCCAAGGTAAAATTGTTGCTAGGGATGCATGTGCATTAGAACAAATGTACGGTAATATGAATATAAACCTGGGCCAAGGTAAAATTGTTGCTAGGGATGCATGTGCATTAGAACAAATGTATGGTTATATGAATATAAACCCGGGTCAAGGTAAAATTGTTGCTAGGGATGCGTGTGCATTAGAGCAAATGTATGGTAATATGAATATAAACCTGGGCCAAGGTAAAATTGTTGCTAGGGTTGCGTGTGCATTAGAACAAATGTATGGTAATATGAATATTAACCTATCTCATAGCAAAGTTGCATTTATCCATTCTATACTTCAAGAGATAACAAGAGGGGACGATTTTTTTCTTCTAAAGCAGGAAATTTTTTAACAGATCTTTCAGTTTCTTCATACAGTTTTTATGCAATTGAATAATACAGGCCGAATCTGTATTTTTTTTCATAATCATGGGATTATTAAACGTTTGTGTATATGTTTAAGTTCTATCGACGTAGTGGTGGTCTAAATCTTTTTTAATTAAATTTTTAAACGCAAGGTACAATTTGAAATTATAGATTCAACTCCATTTTAAATGTAAAAATGAAATTTTACTCATCATGCGTAAAAACTAACATTTTTTATATTTAAAAAACGGGCGCAAATGCTAAGAAATTGCAGCCACTATTACCACTTAATAATTACTTAACCACTGGTAATAAGCCACTATTACCAGTATTGCACAAGCACCGTATAAAACCAAGTGGAGATTAAATAAAGTGGTAACTAGACATTAAAATGTAGTAATTTTAACATTTATATTTTATGGTACCAGAGAAGGGCCTTCGAGTGCAAGGGATTAAAAAAAAAGGAAAAAAAAAACCTAAATTAATCCACCTTTGAAATGAAAATAAAATTTTATGCCCTTCAAATAGCCAATGTTGATTGACACAAAAACGATGTATCTTTCTTAAAATAACTAAGCTTTTAAGTAATCCTTCTTATTTTGTTTTTAACTTAGTTGCTTAAACAGAAGGAAAAAAAAACACTTTTTTCTTCATTTTGAAAAATTATGATGAATTTGCGTCATATTGTAAAACATGCTTATTTCGAAGAATTAAACATCTGTTTCAAAAAAATATATATGTATTACAAGCCTGTAGTTTATTTAATGTTTGGAGTCAGGGATTTCCAGATAAAGTACTTTTATATATACTCTCTCAACATTGAACTGAACAATCGATATCTTGCACTATAATATCATGCAAATTTGATGCAACTGAACAGTTTAATGTACTTAACACTTTGAACCCTGTATTTTTGCAATTTAACACTATGAACCCTGTATTTTTGCAACTTAAGGCTATGAACCCTGTATTTTTACAACTCAACACAGTGAACCCTGTAATTTTGCAACTTAACTCTATGAACCATGTATTTTTCAACTTAGAGCTTTGAACCCTGTATTCTTGCAATTTAAGACTTAAAACCCTGTATTTTTGCAATTCTTAACACTTAGAACCCTGTATTTTTGCTACTTAGCACATGGTACAACTTAATTCTTAAATAAAACTTTAAGATGAGCCATGTTTTAGTTGTATTTTCTAATGAAGCTTAAAAGATTAATTAATATACAACTCCAAGGGTGTAGCCGCTGGTGGAAATCTGAGGATTGTGAGTTCGATCTCGGCAACCGATAAAATGACCGGTGTTTTAAGAGCAAGTTAATTTTTTGTAAATTGAGAAAGACAATTAAAGGATGGAACCCTGGAAAAAGGGCCGAGGTTTTGACCATAATTAGGTGATGCAAATTAATTTACACAATAATATAGATCCACTTAAAATTAAGATTAAAAAATTTACATTATTTTGTGGTTCAACGTGTACCAAACTTTCTAACATATTTAGTATCTAATTCTGATTTATACCATAGCTGAAAGAAGATATGTGGTCTTAAAGGAGCTAAAACAAATTAGCTCACAAGTTACTTGTAATGTTACTTAAGTACGAAAAGTTGCAACTTTCAAACTATTAGTATAAAATAAATTGAATAATCCTCTATAATATCTTATTTCCTTAAAAAATAGTACATCTATCCCTTAATAATTATGTAATAGGGCGAAATAAAAGGATAAC